AGGGTGAGGGGGGATACAGCCATGGTTCTGGGTATAAGCGGGCTGTGGGGGATACATCCATGGTTCTGGGTATAAGCAGGCTGTGGGGGGATACATCCATGGTTCTGGGTATAAGCGGGCTGTGGGGGATACATCCATGGTTCTGGGTATAAGCAGGCTGTGGGGGGATACAGCCATGGCTCTGGGTATAAGCGGGCTGTGGGGGATACAGCCATGGCTCGTCGCGGGCTGTGGGGATACGAAGCATGGCTCTGGGTATAAGCGAGGGCTGTGTGGGGGGATACAGCCATGGTTCTGGGTATAAGCGGGCTGTGGGGTGATACAGCCATGGCTCTTGGTATAAGCGGGCTGTGGGGTGATACAGCCATGGTTCTGGGTATAAGCGGGCTGTGGGGGGATACAGCCATGGTTCTGGGTATAAGCGGGCTGTGGGGGGATAAAGCCATGGCTCTGGGTATAAGCGGGTTGTGGGAGGGGATACAGCCATGGCTCTGGGTATAAGCGGGTTGGGGGAGGGGATACAGCCGTGGCTCTGGGTATAAGAGGGCTGTGTGGGGGGATACAGCCATGGTTCTGGGTATAAGCAGGCTGTGGGGGGATACAGCCAAGGTTCTGGGTATAAGCAGGCTGTGGGGGGATACAGCCATGGTTCTGCATGTTTGTTGGGGATACAGCCATGTTTCTGGGGTAAGTAAACGGGGCTGTGGAGTGGATGTTTTGTTCTGGGTGCATAAGCAGGTTGCAAGGGATGTCATGGTTCCAAGTAATAGTGGGTCAGTGAGTGGTTATAGTGGTGCTAAGGCCGTGGGGGGGGGTGAGTGTGGGAAGAGACAGCTGCCGTGGCCCTGAGTGGCATGTTTAGACCGTGTGGGGGGGATACAGTCATGGCTCTGCATAAGTGTGGGGGGGGAATACAGCCACTGTCTGGCATAAGCCGCCTGGGGGGGATACAACCATGACCTGTGTATAAGCTGGCTTGAGGGGATACATCCATGGCTCTGGGTATAAGCAGGCTTTGTGGGGGGGATACAGCCATGGTTCCGGGTATTAGTGGGCTGTGTGAGGGGGTTATAGGGAAAAAGCAGGCTGTGGGGGGGCAAGTGGGGAGAGATACAGCCATGGTTCTGGGTATAAGCGGGCTGTGTGAGGGGGTTATAGGGAAAAAGCGGGCTGTGGGGGGGCAAGTGGGGAGAGATACAGCCATGGTTCTGGGTATAAGCGGACTGTGTGGGGGGATACAGCCATGGCTCTGGGTATAAGAGGGCTGTGAGGGGATACAGCCTTGGCTCTGGGTATAAGAGGGCTGTGGGAGGGGATACAGCCATGGCTTTGGGTATAAGCAGGCTGTGGGGGGATACAGCCATGGTTCTGGGTATAAGCGGGCTGTGGGGGATACAGCTATGGTTCTGGGCATAAGCGGGCTGTGGGGGGGATACAGCCATGGCTCTGGGTATAAGAGGGCTGTGGGGGGATACAGCCTTGGCTCTGGGTATAAGCAGGCTGTGGGGGGATACAGCCATGGCTCTGGGTATATGGACTGTGGGAGGACACAGCCATGGCTCTGGGTAAGCTGGTTGTGTGGGGGCCACAGCCATGGCCTGGGGTAAGCGGCTGTGGGGGAGCACAGCCATGGTTCTGGGAAGTGGGTATAAGCGGGCTGTGGGAGGGGATACAGCCATGGCTTTGGGTATAAGCGGGCTGTGGGGTGATACAGCCATGGTTCTGGGCATAAGTGGGCTGTGGGGGGGATACAGCCATGGCTCTGGGTACAAGTGGAAGGGAGGGATACAGCCATTGGCTCTGGGGTATAAGCAGACTGTGGGGAGGGGGAAGAGATACAGCCATGGTCCTGTATAAGCTGACCGTGGGGGGGGGAGTACAGCCATAGTTCTGGGTATTAGTGGGCTGTGGGGGGTGGATACAGCAATGGTTCTCTGGTGGTTATCATGGTGCTGGGGATGCATCTTACCAGTATTTGTTTTATTGCCCTTGTTGCTTTTAGGAATTCTCTGCTTCTTGAAGACTGGGACACGGGATGGACCCAACAAAGGGAAGAGTTTCTACGTGTGTGGGGCGAATCGTGGCGCACCCTGTATCTTCACCCAGCAAGCAGAGTACGTCATACAGAAACTGACTGGCTGCAGTTCCTCTCACATCCAGTGCATGACAGGCTGGTTGCAGTTCCTCTCACATCCAATGCATGACAGGCTGGCGGCAGTCCCTCTCACATCCAATGCATGACAGGCTGGCGGCAGTCCCTCTCACATCCAATGCATGACAGGCTGGCGGCAGTCCCTCTCACATCCCATGCATGACAGGCTGGCTGCAGTCCCTCTCACATCCAATGTATGACAGGCTGGCTGCAGTCCCTCTCACATCCAATGTATGACAGGCTGGCTGCAGTCACTCTCACATCCAATGCATGACAGGCTGGCTGCAGTTCCTCTCACATCCAATGCATGACAGGCTGGCTGCAGTCCCTCTCACATCCAATGCATGACAGGCTGGCGGCAGTCCCTCTCACATCCAATGCATGACAGGCTGGCTGCAGTCCCTCTCACATCCAATGCATGACAGGCTGGCGGCAGTCCCTCTCACATCCAATGCATGACAGGCTGGCGGCAGTCCCTCTCACATCCAATGCATGACAGGCTGGCTGCAGTCCCTCTCACATCCAATGCATGACAGGCTGGCTGCAGTCCCTCTCACATCCAGTGCATGACAGGCTGGCTGCAGTCCCTCTCACATCCAGTGCATGACAGGCTGGCTGCAGTCCCTCTCTCATCCAATGCATGACAGGCTGGCTGCAGTCCCTCTCACATCCAATGCATGACAGGCTGGCTGCAGTCCCTCTCACATCCAATGCATGACAGGCTGGCTGCAGTCCCTCTCACATCCAATGCATGACAGGCTGGCTGCAGTCCCTCTCACATCCAATGCATGACAGGCTGGCGGCAGTCCCTCTCACATCCAATGCATGACAGGCTGGCGGCAGTCCCTCTCACATCCAATGCATGACAGGCTGGCTGCAGTCCCTCTCACATCCAATGCATGACAGGCTGGCTGCAGTCCCTCTCACATCCAATGCATGACAGGCTGGCTGCAGTCCCTCTCACATCCAATGCATGACAGGCTGGCTGCAGTCCCTCTCACATCCAATGCATGACAGTCCCTCACATCAATGCATGACAGGCTGGCTGCAGTCCCTCTCACCATGCATGACAGGCTGGCTGCAGTCCCCTCTCATCCAATGCATGACAGGCTGGCTGCAGTCCCTCTCACATCCAATGCATGACAGGCTGGCTGCAGTCCCTCTCACATCCAATGCATGACAGGCTGGCTGCAGTCCCTCTCACATCCAATGCATGACAGGCTGGCTGCAGTCCCTCTCACATCCAATGCATGACAGGCTGGCTGCAGTCCCTCTCACATCCAGTGCATGACAGGCTGGCTGCAGTTCCTCTCACATCCAATGCATGACAGGCTGGCTGCAGTCCCTCTCACATCCAGTGCATGACAGGCTGGCTGCAGTCCCATTCACATCCAATGCATTGTATAAAAGCACACTGACACAGTAACTGTACTGAATGGAACACTGAATTACAACATCCAGCCAAAAAAGTTGATTTTTAAAATTCTCCAACTCTACTATAACTACAGTTTTGACATTTGTGATTCAGTTTTCATTTAAAGGGACACTATAATCACCATAACAACTACTGAAAAGGTGTGTGTACGAATTCAAGAAAGCATGAGTGTGTATTTGAATGCAGGTTTTTTGTATTTTTTGTATGACCTATGTGTTTGAATGCTAGTGTGAACATGTGCATACAGAGCTCTTTTCTGCAGTGTCAATGTACTTTTAGGTGTCCCTTGTTGTCGGTTTGCATCTGTATTCCAGAGATCTATTGATGGGGTCTTCAGGGTATTTTACAGTGTTAACATATTCCAGAAATCCATCATTTGTGGATCTATTCATACATTTCAGCTGACAGCATATACATTCACTGAGTGTTCTGTATACAGAGCAATGCTGGGACAGCGTTCTGAAAATATAGCAGAAACATTACCCAGAGTTACTGTGTTCTCTATACAGTATCCCTGCGTCTCACTGCATGGCCAGTATAATAACCCAGAGTAACGCTGTCTGTTATAACATTACTGTGTGTTCTCTATACAGTATCCCTGCGTCTCACTGCACGGCCAGTATAATAACCCAGAGTAACGCTGTCTGTTATAACATTACTGTGTGTTCTCTATACAGTATCCCTCCGTCTCACTGCATGGCCAGTATAATAACCCAGAGTAACGCTGTCTGTTATAACATTACTGTGTGTTCTCTATACAGTATGCCTGCGTCTCACTGCACGGCCAGTATAATAACCCAGAGTAAGGCTGTCTGTTATAACATTACTGTGTGTTCTCTATACAGTATGCCTGCGTCTCACTGCACGGCCAGTATAATAACCCAGAGTAACGCTGTCTGTTATAACATTACTGTGTGTTCTCTATACAGTATCCCTCCGTCTCACTGCATGGCCAGTATAATAACCCAGAGTAACGCTGTCTGTTATAACATTACTGTGTGTTCTCTATACAGTATCCCTGCGTCTCACTGCACGGCCAGTATAATAACCCAGAGTAACGCTGTCTGTTATAACATTACTGTGTGTTCTCTATACAGTATCCCTCCGTCTCACTGCATGGCCAGTATAATAACCCAGAGTAACGCTGTCTGTTATAACATTACTGTGTGTTCTCTATACAGTATGCCTGCGTCTCACTGCACGGCCAGTATAATAACCCAGAGTAAGGCTGTCTGTTATAACATTACTGTGTGTTCTCTATACAGTATGCCTGCGTCTCACTGCACGGCCAGTATAATAACCCAGAGTAACGCTGTCTGTTATAACATTACTGTGTGTTCTCTATACAGTATCCCTGCGTCTCACTGCACGGCCAGTATAATAACCCAGAGTAACGCTGTCTGTTATAACATTACTGTGTGTTCTCTATACAGTATCCCTCCGTCTCACTGCATGGCCAGTATAATAACCCAGAGTAACGCTGTCTGTTATAACATTACTGTGTGTTCTCTATACAGTATCCCTGCGTCTCACTGCACGGCCAGTATAATAACCCAGAGTAACGCTGTCTGTTATAACATTACTGTGTGTTCTCTATACAGTATCCCTGCGTCTCACTGCAGGCCAGTATAATAACCCAGAGTAACGCTGTCTGTTATAACATTACTGTGTGTTCTCTATACAGTATCCCTCCGTCTCACTGCACGGCCAGTATAATAACCCAGAGTAACGCTGTCTGTTATAACATTACTCTGTGTTCTCTATACAGTATTCCTGCATCTCACTGCCTCCTGCACGAGGATTTTGTGGTGGATCTCCAAGCTTTGATCAGACAAGACTCTGACAGTCACAGGTAAGATTTGCTGATAGAGTCTGCCATCCTGTGCATAAGTAGGGGAGGTGGGAACACAATGCATGTCACTCCCTGCAAGTGAGGAGGAGAATATAAACTTTATTTTTCATTCCGGTTCTCCTCTAACCCTAATTACTGAATGGCAGTAAAGCAAACATGTTTAACAATGATATCCGGAGAGAGCCAAGATGGTTTCACACAGTTCCTGTATTTTCACAATTAGTTTTATTTTAGTCTCAGAAAAACCTAGGTGTTAATATAAAAGGATAAATTAACGTACTAATAAAAATCCAGAGAATGAGCATCCCGTATTAATGATTTGTGTATCGTGTTTATTTTATCCGGCATGTGACGGTCCACTTTGGGGTAATTACCAAAGTGTCACGAGACCCCATTAATGCAGAGGTTTTCTTTTCCAGACTTTATTACCGCTGTGTGAAGGGCAAGGCGGAGGGCAAAAAGTGGTGCGGAAATGTCCCTTGGCAGGTGAGTAGACATGGAAGACATTGTTAAACTGTTCTCTGTAATGTCTGTTGTCTGTAAGCTAGTGTCTGTAATATCTCCTGTCTGTGCGCTCTGTGCACTCTGTGCTGTCTACAAACTGTGTAAAATAATATCTCCTAATTCCTAGCTGTTGTGTTACAGCGCCGTTTTCTTTATGTTGGATTCTGCTTGGATATTCCATTTTGTTTGTATGAGCGACCAATGTTTCTTGGAATTCTGAAACAAATAATTATTATTACTATTTATACACGTGGCAGAAATGCCTCTGCCACGTGTTCTTGGAGGGGCCTGCTTGCCAGCCTCCTGCCAAAAGACTATGGGCCCTTTAATAACCTATGTGATTTATGTACTTTTGTACTCCAGAGAGAGAGACCAACCGTTAGCCCTGGTTCCCTGGAACTGTTTTGGGCATAGGACCACGTGCACGGTCGGTCAAAAATAAGACTTCCAGGAAATTCTTGAACCCCTGAACCGATCTGGGTGATTTTTGGATATGTTGGTCCCCCAGATCGGAGCTATAAGGGGATGTGGGGTTTCCATGTATTTTGGGGTATTGTAAAATGTATGTTTTCTGTGCCTGGAGATAATTGAGTTTAGTACAGTTCCTGACTCAATTATCTCTCAGGCACAGGGGAGGGATTATCTTATTTTGTGTGGGAGTGTCCTGGAGCCAATGTAATCACGTGTATGTTTTTGATGTAGTCCCCTCTCAGGTCTTGTGGGGAAAGCCCCTGGAATATGTAACCGTAAACCCCTTGCATGGGGACCTGCATATAAGGCCAGTTGTGGTTGTCATTAAACAAGCTCTACTTCACCCTCAACACAGAGCCTCGTCTCATGCTTTTAGGGAACATCTATATCACTAGCTCTTGTAAGCTATAGTGCTTTACTCTCTGGAGGAGGAGAGGTCTACCCACTGGAAGCTTGATCCCTGACTTGGGTCCAGGGTGGGTAGAGGACAGCGAGACCCCAACCAAGCTGCGGCTGCTAAGGGTCTACAGTCTACAGTGCTGATGGTGTCCGGTGCGGTGCTTATGGTACTCAAGGCTTACTAGGAAGCATCAACTGGCGGAGGCACCCAGTCAGGGTGCCAGGGCGTCCGTCACAACACATTTGCATGATAATATATCAAAATGACACTGTTTGTAATTGTTGAATATGCTTAACCCCTTAAGGACCGATGACGGTTCAGGACAGTCATTGGAAACATCCCCTTGAGGACTGGTGACGGTCCTGAACCGTCATAACAGTATTTGGGTACTTACCTGATCGGCGTCGTTCCTCTGGCGGCGATCAGTGTTTCTCCCGGTCTGGGGGGACTGCCTGTCTGCCCAGATAGTCTCCCCGCGTCAAATTACGACTCCACGGCCACGTGATCGATCTAACAGGTACCTGTGTATCTACCTGCAGGGGGACTGTCTGTGCTTAATAAATGTGTGTGTGTGTGTGTGTGTATATAATAGATATATATTTGTGCTCGGAATTTATCTAATGCGTAATGAAATCTAGAAGGGAAAGCAAAAGTTGGTTGAGGTGTGCCGAAACCAACGTATGAGTAGGCCTGTAAAAAGAGGGCCCACAAAGGTGAGTGTTAATATAGATGGGTGTAGGTGGGTGGGGACAAACAGCTTGCAAGACAACGGTAAGTAGGGGGGTAGGGTTTATATAGGATCATTACTCCTCCCACAAATTCAGGCCAAATGGCCTTCCAACTTGTGCTTGGAATTTATCGAATACGTAATGAAATATAGAAGGGAAAGCAAAAGTTGGTTGAGGTGTGCCGAAACCAACGTACGAGTAGGCCTGTAAAAAGAGGGCAAAAGAGGATTCAAAGATGACCACACTTTATTGCAAGTTAATACAGCATGAGTAACGAAAGCTTGTAAGATGCTTCACTCTGATTGAGGTATGTAAGTACCTGAGCTGATGCTTCTTGATGACCCCATTGTTTGTGATGTAGACTGGGGTGTAAGTGTTTGAATCTGCTGCTGTAGTGCCTTTGGAGACGTAACCGCTGAAAGACAGCATAGAAGGTTTTAAGTAAGAAGCTTGGTTGTGAGTTTAGAGAAAAAGGCAAACATTTTACCATGATTATAACAGCGAGGTTCTCAAATTTAAGCCAGCTTCTGAATGTGTCGTCTCATGGTGCAATACAGTAAGCCCTGGCGAATGTGAAGGGAAAGTCGTGACCCTGCGTGAAGCGTGCGTACCTGTGTGAGGTACCATTGTGTGCTTAGTCCCAGATTAGCTCATGGAAAGGTGGTATCCTAGATGGAAAGTGGTAGGCCATGGGGAGTGCCTGGAAGAAGGTATCAAATTGGGAGCGTGACAGAGCGTCAGCTGCTGTGTTGTGGACACCAGGAATGTGGATACAGACTAGGAAGAACTGAGAGGTAGCTGCCAACCACGTCAGCCTGCGAATCAGCCTCATAATTGTTAGGGAGGAGGACCGACCTTTGTTAATGATGTCACAGGCTGCGGAGTTGTTGGAAAAGCATCTAACTGCCTTGCCGGTCCAAAGGTGACCCCACGTGTGGGCGGCCGCTACGATGGGGTAGATCTCAAATAAATAAAGTAGATGTTTCTTTGAAGGCCGGCAAGGCATCCGTCTCAGGGGGCCAGTCGTCCCTAAACCAGTGATTGTCGCAGATGGCTGCGAACCCTGTGTGTGCCGCTGCGTCTATGTGAATCGAAGGTGAGTGCTCTGAAAGTGGGGGAATGAACAAAGAGATCTGTAACGGACCGTTTCTCTCAAAAGGGGATAAATCAGTTTAGGCGATAATCCCCTTTCCCATAGACCAGCAGCTACTACAATCACCAACCTCCCGAACTCCAAACTGTACGAATCCCCAACTCACGAACAAGAAATACACGAACTCTGGAAGCAGCCGAACAGGAAAAGCAATACGAACGGCTTACATTCCTGGCAGTCAGCACACAATCCAATTCCCCCAATAACGAGACGACACTTCATTTTGAGGGTTAAGCAGAATCTGCCGATTTATTCACACAACTTCCTTTTAAGACATTCTCCCATGCAAGGGAGGGATCCACAACAATTAGTACCCCAGCCAATAATGTACCAGTTGCCTCCCACACATCTCCTCCCCTTAGTGTGACACATAATCCCATTAGTACAGACACAAATTCCCTGGGATACTGGATGTACCCCTAAACATAGGAATACCCCTTTAAATGTTACATCCCCTGGTAACCCTGATCTGGGTGAGACACATATCCAAAAATCACCCAGATCGGACCAGGGGTTCAGGAATTATAGAGGGTTAAAGTTTTGACCGACTGCATGGCAAAAGTATCCGAAAATAGTTCCATGTACTTTGGCCCTGCAGTCGGTCACAGAAAAGGGAATGAATCACACAAATTGCCTGGGTTAGAGAGCTTGGGGAGGATTCGTATGAATCCCACTGTTCGTGGGATCCTTTCTACCGAACGGCGGGCCGTTCGGTAGTTTCTGCACGAATTGCTGGAAGTCTGGAGGTCTCAGCGGTGTTTGCTTAGTCGAGTGTCCGATTTTAGTTCCAGACACTCGACGGCAAAACACCGCTGTTCGGGAGTTTAAGATGGCCGCCGCCACGTGTTCGTTTCCCGAATGGCGGCCACCCAGAGGACAAAACACCCATTACACATATTGCCAATTACCCGTTTGCAACATTGTTGCAAACGGTAATTGGAGGCACACTTACGCCAGGGTGGTCTGGTTGTTCGGTAGTTTCACCCAATATAATGAATGGAGTAATTCTACCGAACAATCAGACGAATGCTGCATACACATAACACTGTTTACCGAACACATAATATTAAATGCAGCCTGAATGCAATTTGCTACACAATCTTAAAGGGCATTATTCCTAACAGTCAGAATATGTCCACGGATGGCCCTTAAAGGGCCAGTAGCAGCAATATAAAAATGTCACATGCCCAAAGATTGCATACAAAAGTACGAATTCACAAGGGGGCCATAGTCAGATGGCAGGAGGCTGGCAACCAGGCTTCTCCAGTGCATAGTGGCGAGGTTGGTTTCGCCACAAGATCCAATTCCAATCAGCCAGAAAACTACTCCACATGAGTAAATCCGCCCTAGCCGGACCGTCCAACACGATTGGGCATGAGTCGGACACACCGTGGAGCAAGAGGAGAAGCCTGGAGACAAAAGATCTACCCTGTGGAATGATGCGCATAGAGAAGCCTGGAGACAAAAGATCTACCCTGTGGAATGATGCGCATAGCATCGGGGTTAAGGGACCCCAATAAGGACTGGAGGCTCCTCCTAGTGCACGCAACACTCCGCAGGAACAGGACAATCTCGTTCTTAATGTGGGACAGCTTGTCTGGTGGTAAACTGGATTGGAAGGTAGTGGTGTTGAGTACTATGCCCAAGAAAACAAGCTTGATGGAGGGACCGAGTGTTTTGCTAGGTGACAAGGGGACCCGGAGTGTATGGAGTGAGGGGGTTGTGAACCTGGTTCTATCAATAGAAAATCGTCTAGGTAGTGGATGACAGAGGGGCACCTGAGTGTATTTAGGAGGAGAAGCCAGCAGAGGGTTTCTGCGTAGATATCGAATAACCTCCTAGAGCCAAAAGTGAGCCGGGTGGCGATAAAATACCTGTTTCTCCATTTAACACAATGTAAGTGCCATAGTGAGGGGTGAATAGGTAGTAGTTTGAAGGCGTTTGTTATATCTGTTTTGCTCAACCAAACTCCACGACCAGCTAATAAGATGGCCTCCATGGTGTGATGAGAGCAATCTTGCCACATTGCATTGGAGAAGCCTGGTTGCTCGCCTGATGCCTTTGGGTTATGGCCCCATGTTAAAAGACTTTGTTTCCCCTGCAGAAAAGACTTATTCGTGCTTTTCTGCCCGGTGTTTGGTAGATTCAATCTACCGAACAACCGCACGAATGCCTAGACCACCTGGGAGCTGGATTAAACTGTATTTGTGTGGTCTGAGGAAACGAAAATTGGTAAAACCTTTTTACCTGATACCATGAAACTGGAACCTGGAAATCACTTCTTGAAGTAGATGAACCCAAAACAAATGTTTTCTAAGAAGGATGACCCGGAAATAGTCTATATAAGGAACAGTTTAGTCATATGTATTACTGGTCTGAAATGAGCCTAGGAAACGGAGGGGGGGGGGGGCTTGAGTGACCCAGTGATATAAAAAAGGGGGAAAACGGCCAACTGTTCCTTTAAGAGGGTAACCCTTGTGTGGAAACCGCAGAGTGCTGGGAATTAGTTCATAATTAAATGTAACGGTGGGTCGGGAAATGGTGCCACAGGACTATGATATATACAGGGGGAAAAACAGAGTATAAACTTTAAATATAAAATGGAAATAGTCATGTATAGTTTCATACTGGGGTATATACATAACATATAGGGAATACCTGTTTATCCCTCCCGTGTTTGGCTAAGCGAACAAGAGAAGGATTTAACATATAAATCAACAGCAGTCTGTATGAGTAAATGAAAACGGCTGCATTAAAGCCGTTCGTAAGCGTGTTCGGCTGTATGAACGTGTGAAACAGCCGAACGTAGGGTAAGTATGAGCGATCAGTATTAATTTTTAAACGAATGAAATAAAGGTGAGTATGAACTTCTGCGTTCGGCTATTAGACGCGCGAACGCAGAAGTAAACGAACGGTGTAAGGAACGAAATGGAAAGTAATAATAGGGAGCCTATCCCTGTGTTTTTAGGCCCGAACGTGGGAAACACGTTCCCACTTTTGTGTTTACGTGTAGGTGCCGGTCTCATGACCGGAAGCCGGAAACGAGTAACGAAGGTGAAGGAACCCGGAGGTCGGTGACAGGAGCTGTAACGAGGGATTGGATACTCGAGGCAGGATTTGGCGGCAACCTCGACCGGAAGTGCAGGTAACTAAGGACAAATGGCTTGCAAGACAAAGGTAAGTAGGGGGTTAGGGTTTATATAGGATCATTACTCCTCCCACAAATTCAGGCCAAATGGCCTTCCAATATATATATATATATGTATATTTCGTATTATTTTTATTTATACATAATGTCCATATACATAATTACATAAAATAATTTCATAAATATACACGTAGACTTCAAATATATAAATATGTATATTTAAATTCTATGTGCATATTTATGTAATATGTTTACCTAATTAAGTAATTTTATTGATTGCAATTTGTGGGACATGCCTGACAACCCAGGCCAAAAGTCCAGATAATTTAATTTGCTAGCACTATATTTAACCCTGTAACTTTCCAAGACACCCTAAAACCTGGACATGGGGGTAACTGTTTTACTCGGGAGATTTCACTGAACACAAATATTAGTGTTTTTCAAAACAGTAAAACCTATCACAGTGATGATATTGTCAGTGAAAGTGACTTTTTTTGCATTTTTTCACAACCAAACGGCACTTTCACTGATGATATTATTGCTGTGATACGTTTTACTGTTCTGAAACACTAATATTTGTGTTTAGCGAAACCTCCTTAGTATAACAGTACCCCATATGTGGAGGTTTTATAGGTTTGTGAGTTACAGGGTCAAATATAAGGCTTGATTTTACTTCTTTTTTTTTTTTTTATTGAAATTTGTCAGATTGGTTACGTTACCTTTGAGACCGTACAGTAGCCCAGGAATGAGAATTACCCCCATAATGGCATACCATTTGCAAAAGCAGACAGTCTTTAGTAGACAGTCACAAACACTGGCCAAAGTTAGCGTTTTTTGCATTTTTTTAACACACAAACAAATATAAGTGCTAACTTTGGCCAGTGTTTGTGACTAAGTGGCTACTAAAAAAACTGGACATACCCCATATTGAATACCCTGGGTTGTCTACTTTAAAAAAAAAAAAAAATTTGGTGTGATTTGGGGATTTATGACCAATAACAGTGTTACAATGTCACTATTGATAAATGTAAAAAATATATATATTTGTTATTATAGCCTTATAGCATTTTTTTTCATTAGCTTTTGTAGATAAATAAAAGATTTTTCAAGTAAAAGTCAAAAAACATGTTTTCTTTTTCAATTTTTCACCATTTTTTTTTTTTTTTAAAGTAAAATATATGACATGATACAAATAATGGTATGTAAAGAAGGCCCTTCTTGTCCTGAAAAAAAATAATATATAATTTGTATGGAAACCGTAAATGAGAGAGAGGAAAATTACAGCTAAACACAAACACCACAAAAATGTTAAAACCGTTCTGGGCTTAACGTACAACATGGCCAAAACAGTCTGGTCCTTAAGGGGTTAATAATGTATAATGGAAGTTGCAGTCTTTAAAGTACATATTTTACCTGAACATTTTAGCCTTGGTTAAACCTTATTGGGATTACCGTATATAGGGTTAACCGGTTTAAGAAGTGTGTATGAAGCCGTATCTCATTCCTATAGTTCTTAATTTATTACCTTTTTTTTTTTTTTTTTTTATAGAGTTCAAACAACAAACACAACTTCTGTAATCCGTTATCTCAGCCTCCTGGGAGAAAGACAGAGAAAAATGACAGAAACCCTTTCAGAGTGCTAAATGAGGACCCCAAACATACCCTGTGGAAGCAAATCAGTGGGGAGAGAAAGCAGAATGGGGAGAACAAATACAGCGAGGAGGAAAAGCACAGGCATAAGGAACGAGCGCAGAGCGGCGAGGAGGAAAGGTATAAGGAACAAGCACAGAGCTGTGAGGAGGAAAGGCATAAGGAACGAGCACAGAGCGGCGAGGAGGAAAGGCATAAGGAACGAGCACAGAGCTGTGAGGAGGAAAGGCATAAGGAACGAGCACAGAGCGGCGAGGAGGAAAGGCATAAGGAACGAGCGCAGAGCGGCGAGGAGGAAAGGCATAAGGAACGAGCACAGAGCTGTGAGGAGGAAAGGCATAAGGAACGAGCACAGAGCTGTGAGGAGGAAAGGCATAAGGAACGAGCACAGAGCTGTGAGGAGGAAAGGCATAAGGAACGAGCGCAGAGCGGCAAGGAGGAAAGGCATAAGGAAGAAGCACAGAGCTGTGAGGAGGAAAGGCATAAGGAACGAGCACAGAGCAGCAAGGAGGAAAAGCATTGGCATAAAGAACAAGCGCAGAGCTGTGAGGAGGGAATGCATAGGCATAAGGAACGAGCGCAGAGCGGCGAGAAGGATAGGCATAAGAAACGAGCGCAGAGTGGTGAGGAGGAAAGGCATAGGCATAAAGAACGAGTGCAGAGCTGTGAGGAGGATAGGCATAAGGAAGGAGCGGAGAGTGGCAAGGATAGGCATAAAAAACGAGTGCAGAGTGGCGAGGATAGGCATAAGGAACGAGTGCAGAGTGGCGAGGATAGGCATAAGGAACGAGCGCAGAGTGGCGAGGATAGGCATAAGGAACGAGCGCAGAGTGGCGAGGATAGGCATAAGGAACGAGCGCAGAGTGGGGAGGATAGGCATAAGGAACGAGCGCAGAGTGGGGAGGATAGGCATAAGGAACGAGCGCAGAGTGGGGAGGATAGGCATAAGGAACGAGCGCAGAGTGGTGAAGAGGAAAAGAATAAGAAACATATGCTGAGTGATGAGGAGAGGAAGGATAAGGATGGAATGCAGAGCAGCGAGAAAGGAAAAACTAAAAGTAAGGAATGGAGGCAGTGTATTGCTGAACGAGAGAACCCCAGAAATAAGGAATTGAGGCAATCTATTGAGGAACACAAACTGATGACAACCACAGTAAACCCAGCAATAGACAAACTGCTAAACCCTAAAAAAACTCTAATCTGTGATGAGAGACTTGGCAACACCGTGGGGAAAACTCAGACATTGGAGGAGAGGTCTTCATTCCAGGGCTGGAGGGGCAAGGAGATACCACTTGGGATTACAATCAAGACGAAAGGGCAGGAGAGCATGGAACGGGTAGACATGAGACTTCCACGGACAGACGGTCACAAAGACACAGCTGAAAGACACAGTGAGTCGGACGCTGGGCTTGATGACCACATCCCGCAGAGTAATGACAAGGAAGGGACGTCATTGCTATACAGCAGAGCTAAGGATAGTCCGGGAGACAGACTGTGTGAAGGTCACACAAAGAACACCACAAATAGCTACCGAGACGTGAAGGAAAATGGTGGTGGCCAGCAAGAAGACACGGCTACAGATGATGACGATGTTTTATTTGTTTCCTCTCAACCTGGAAAGGAGAAGCTCTCCTCCCAAAATACCTCGGGAGGAGGCAAGCAACGGACCATCACCTCCTTCCCAGGCTTCAGAGCACAGCCCCAAACACAAAATTCGGCTGCACTGCACTCCCAGCTTACAGCCCAGCTCCAGCAGAAGAAGGTATCTGTTCTGTATATCAAACGTGTGTGTATCCCAAATATTATATATTCTCTATATACCTCAAATATTCTATATTCTATATATACACCCCAAATATATATTCTATATACCCCAAATATTATTTGTGTTCGGGGCATTCTCATATGATATAGAATAAGATGGGTTGTAGAGATGTAGCTTTAGGAATAATCAGTTCAGGTGTGCTGAAACCGACGTATGCTGTAGGCCGGTAAAAAGTGGGCTTACATAGAGGAAATATGAACAATGGGAGTGGAGGGTGGGGCTATTCGTCTGACCAACAAAGGTAAGTAGGGAAAGGGGGGAGTCCCTTTTATAGGTCTATAGCCCCTCCCACAACTTCAGGCCATCCCTTCCAATTTGTGTTCGGGGCATTCTCATATGATATAGAATAAGATTGGTTGTAGAGATGTAGCTTTAGGAATAATCGGTTGAGGTGTGCTGAAACCAACGTATGCCGTAGGCCAGTAAAAAGTGGGCAAAAAGAGACATATTAATGCAAAACATTATACAGGATGATAGTGCATTTGTTAACCATCAGGTAGACATTTTAATGAAAGCTTCCTAATTCGGCTGTGGTATGTAAGTCGCATAAGCCTATGATTCCCAGCGGTGTCTTAACATGTGCAGGGATGTCTTGGCTATAGGCCGTGGAGGCTGCTCTTATCCTAAAGGAGTGCCCTGAGTAGTCGCTAGGGTTTAGTTCGAGCCCGGTGAATGAGTAGGTGGACATAGTGCCTGAACTTACCTGTGGTAAGGACAGTATCGTACAGCGACAGTAATGGTTCAGTGGTGCATATGGTGGCGTGCCCAAGAACGTAACCAGTACCTTAACCAGGCGCCCAGCATTGCTTGTAAGGTAGTAGGTTATATGCACTGGCTCGCCCATCTGACTCGTCTTAGTTTTAGGAAGGGACCGGACATAGTGGTCTGTGTGTTTTAGAAGATAAGAGGTCAACGGGCACTCTTGTTTATGATGTTGGCTGCTGATAGGGAGTTATTTTTTTTTTGCCTGAGAAAGCTGTTAAAGGCTAGATAGGTAGCAGTTTTGATAACTGCATTGGTGCGTGGCTCGGAAGGTGCATGGTCAAGTGGTTCTGACATGGTTTGAACATTGTATGTCTATGGCCAGTATTTAGTTTTAGCGGGAACGTCCGCTTGGGTATGTGTCTAAGTTAAGGTATGGATGGGGTAAGAAGATAGGAACCCTGGTTGTTTGGGAAGGAGTAATACGTATAGTGTTGAATGCCCGTGAGACAAGTTTAATCGTGTTGTGCGAGAATTTTTAACTTAAGGTGGCAAAAAGAGGCGAAGGCCATAAGTGGTGAAACCTCAAACCAGCTATCTAAGTGATGGTCCGTGTAACGGATCACCTGGCACCCTGACTGGGTACCTCCATTGGTGGATGCTCCTAGCACTTCTTGAGGATTCCAAGCACTCTAGCCGACACCACAACCACCGCAGGCTGAACCTCTCTTCCTCAGTGATTATAGCAAGGGAATATGCCGCTGGGGAGGAAGGATGGTACCCTCAGTTCCCTGGGACTCACTGGACTGCTGGGGAGAGGAACCAACTGTTTCCTCTCCTAAGGACACACACTGCCGCTGGGGAGGAAGGATGGTACCCTCAGTTCCCTGGGACTCACTGGACTGCTGGGGAGAGGAACCAACTGTCTCCTCTCCTAAGGACACACACTGCCGCTGGGGGAAGGACGACACCTTCAGCTCCCAGTAACACACTGCAGCTGCGGAGGAAGGACTGCATCTTCGGCTCCCTGGGACTCACTGGACTGCTGGGGAGAGGGCCCAACTGTCTCCTCTCCTAAGGACACACACTGCCGCTGGGGGAAGGACGACACCTTCAGCTCACTGTAACATACTGCCGCTGCGGAGGAAGGACTGCATCTTCGTCTCCCTGTAACTCACTGGACTGATGGGGAGAGGGACCAACTGTCTCCTCTCCTAAGGACACACACTGCCGCTGGGGAGGAAGGACGGCACCTACAGCTCCCTGGGATACATACTGCCGCTGGGGATCTGGGCAGACTGCCCAGCATCCCTGTAGGGCCGGTAGAGAGACCTCGGTCCCATCTCCACCTGCCAGCTGGGTGTCTTCCCAGGACAAGTCAATACATTTCATGTCGGACTGTGGCGGAACCAGCCTCGCCATCTCGGGGGCTGGTTGGGACGTATGTGGTACAGTACCAAGGTCCCCTGATAACAGGCTTGGTTGCTGGGGAGGAGGAACTAAACTCAATGCCTTCGGTGGTATACAGTCAATAAGCCCCATCATGTCAGAGACTGACTACGTTGGAATAGGCAAACATAATCCTGTTCTAGTTCCCACTCCCGGTTGGCAAGAAAAGATAGATCTGGCTGAATGGCATTGATCTCCGTAAGGTCCCAGTTGTCTGCCCGCTCAGCTTGGATGGACCAGAAGTGAGCAATGTCGGTGTTGCCGAACCAGAGACTAGTTTCAATAGTATCCCACAACAAACCAGGGCCATCGTAGTCTTCCCCCTCAATACACTTGTACTCGATCAGTATTCCACCGCTGCCATCAATGTAACGGATCACCTGGCACCCTGACTGGGTACCTCCGTTGATGGATGTTCCTAGCGCTGCTTGAGGATTCCAAGCACTCTAGCCGACACCACAACCACCACAGGCTGAACCTCTCTTCCTTCAGAGCGAAGCAGGAACAAGCTCTTAAAAGAGCTTAGGAGTGATTATAGCAAAGTGAATATGCAGAGCATAGCAATCCCTTGTAACAGATTCCCCCAATAAAAGACAGGACTCCAAATTGAGGCTGAAGTAGAACTGTCTAAAACGTTATTTTACTTGGGACTAGCCCATATGGTCATTACATTAACATTGCTGTGAAAACTCAATAAAATCATAGCAGGCAACATACACTGACTTATTATAACATAATTACATATTTATAAACTGGGTTACCAGTCTTGCTATTCAGGTACTGCATATTACTGTTGCTACCAACAGAGGGCACTACACAAGCTCCATAGCCAAATCCACCTAGTTGGTAGCAATCCTCGGCAGTACAGGAGAGCAGGCAATACATCCCAGGGGCCATAGTCGCATGGCAGGAGGCTGGCAATCAGTCTTCTCCAATGCCCAGTGGCAAGGCTGGTTCCGCCACAGTCCGACATGAAATGTATTGTATAAGTGGACCATAAATGACCCCCCTGCCATGGCGGCTTTCACAGCAGCTGCCACAATAGTTTACCATTACGTGTGGTTAAGAAAGTCCACCATATGTGTAGGTCTGCCGTGGCTTGGTTGTCTAGGGACAGCCCCTGATCATCATGCGGGAGTGTGGAAAAAGCAAAGTGGTCTTAGATGAAAGCGCGGCCTGCGGTATGATGCGCATGGCAAAAATTTAAGGAACCTGGTAGGGATTGTAGTTCCATGCGGTTGCAAGTACCAAGCAGGAGGTGGTAATTGGTGTTATTGTGACTGTTCCTATTTCTCACGTGGTAACTTGTTGGTATGGATGCCGAGTCAAGTTTATGCCCAGGAATGTACCGATAGTGTCTGGGTCTTCTGTGAGCATAGGGAATACTGGGACACCCAAGTGTTCAGACATACTAATGGCTTTGTAACGGAAACGCTTGGCACCCCGACTGGATACCACCGTTGAAGGATGCTCCTAGCGCTTCCTGAGTACTCCAAGCACTGCAGCAGACACCACAACCACCGAACCGGAGAAGCATACGAATGCTCTCAAGCATATGAATGCTGTAAGCAGCTGAACAGGAAAAGCATAAAATCAGCTTACACTCCTGGCAATCAGCATACAATCCAATTCCCCCAATAACGAGACGACACTTCGTTTTGAGGTCAAGCAGACCTGACTGTACTGGCACATACAGCCTCTTTTATTCACAATCCACAAACATAGTATAGCCCACAGGGTTTTGAAATACAACCAATCAATCCGTACAATACACACAGACACTCCCACACAAAATCCTCCCATCTGCTTGTGATATGATTACTGAACACAATGGTTAATATAATGATCACAGGCAGAGAAATACAGTATTATAAAACCTATCACAGGGACCCCAAAACATGCAATAACCCCATGTTATCCAGGGGGTCTGGGTGAACCACATATCCTAAATTCACCCAGATCCGTTTAGTAGTTTGGAAGATACAGTTTAATGCAGATTCTGCAGAACATATACAGGCTATATGAAAAATAATTACTGTATAATGTGTCCCCTATTGTATAGTTTAAAACTACTGCACGATGTCTTTGTGCACCAAATACCGGCGAGATGGCACCGTGTAGAAAAGTCCAAACAGTGTCTGTAAATGGCCGCCATCCATTGTTCTCACCATCGTTCTCACCATGTGCCTCTGATACATGAAATGATGGCCACCCATTAACTCCACAGTATGTCCCCAGATGGTTCTTAAAGGGCCAGCAGCAGCACAAATCCATTATGCCCACATCATGTTTGTAAAGGGCCATAAAACCCAGGGCCATAGTCATGAGGCAGGAGGCTGGCAATCAGGCTCCTCCAACATCCAGGGGCAAAGCGCAGCTTGTCACCTAAAAATCCAGTGACCAAAGGCATTTCGTCACAGGCTTCCTTGAAGCTTCTAGAGGGAAAGGCGTTCCCTTTGACCAACAAGAAATCATCTCTGGAGTGTATGACTCTGGGGCATCTGGATATGTTTAACCACAACCAGCAAAGAGTTCAACGAATATATTAAAGATTGTGGGCTGCTCTTGACCCGAAAGTTAAGCGGGAGGAGAAATATATAACTGCTGTCCATAAATGCCCTGTAAGTGCCAGTGTAGGGTGGATGGTGGCACTCTGCGTTTGTGATAGCAGTTTTACTTAACCAGGCTTCCCCCCCTGCTTGAGTGATAGCTGTAATGGTATGAACAATGGTGGCATACTGTAATGAAAACTCCTCGGAGGGTATGAGGGAG